GGGAAAGTCTGGATAAAAAATTAAAAGCTCCAGTTTTGGTTTTGCAGTTTGGGCAAAATAGGTTAGTTTGAGAGACAGCAGTGTATTGTGTCACTTTAGATTTTTCTGTTGTCAGTTAATATGTACAGGTAGAGATTTTCTTCCCCCCACTTGAAGTTGGTGAAATGCAGAGCACTATTTGTTTGTTGTTCAACTGCATCCTCTTTGGGATCTTTCATATTTTCTCCTCTGAATGATCTTTTCATCTGCAATTTTGCCTTTTTTGTTGTTCTTCTGTAGCCTTCATTTGAAATGCCCATTTATTTGCTCTGCAAAAAAAATCTCTTTTATTGTATCTAATCTTTACATTGATTCATTTGGCAAGGCCCTTTTCCCCATCATCTGTTTCACCTTCAGTGATTCATCTTCATCTTAATAATCAATTTGTATTCTTCATGTTCAGGGTCAGTTGATGAATTCTCTGAGTCTGGGATTTTTATCTCCTCATGGGGCAAATTCTGTAGTCCTTCCTTATGTGGAACTTCCCATTTCAGTGCAGGTTTCATTTATGGAAGTACTTAGAATTTGTTTATATATATTTTATATAATATCATGAAAATGCATGATGTTAATAAACTAGGAAGGAAGGAAAGGTTAATATTCTTTTGACTGATTGATATTATTTTTCTTAAAAAGGTACTATATTAAAAGAAAACTTAATAGGTGAATCTCTGAGAGAGACAGTACTGTTAACAAAGACTAACCAGAAAGAAGTATGCTTGTTAAACATTCCTGTATAGATTGTCTATACTATCTTCCAACTTCCAAAAAAAAAGTGATTTCTTAATTTTCTCTGTAGAAGATAGGGTACTTCCAGTAAGTTATCTTTCTTTTTATCAGATGTCCTGTTTTGAATATACAAAGCAAGAATAAGAGAATCTGACTTCCCAGTAAGACACTATAGAAGTTAGAAATTCTTAAAAGATTCTAAACTATAATCTCTTTTTAATGGCAAGAATAATTTTTTCTTTTCTGCTTTACATAATTGTCAAAACCATGTTTGGTTGTTGTCCTGTGATATGTGTGTTCCTTTTTTAAATTTAATTTTTGCTGTGCTTTATTTATGTCGCAGTGGGATGGAATTTTTAAAGATGGGATGGAGGGCTATAGCACCTACCCTGTAGTGCTGGGGTTCTAATTATATGGGCTTCATCTAGCTTTACAGGTACCAGAGATAGATGAATCTGTAACAAGAATACTGTAATGATGTCAAACTATTGCTGAAAGCCAAACTGTCTACCATTTGATACTTAATGGTAATGTCCAGAGTACATATTCTATTGGTCCACCATTTGTGTGTATTATAAAAAAGGAGTTAACAAATCTGACTGTAGCTATCGTAGTCTTTACAAGGGATTTTTTTGTTCCATCTGTTTAATGCTTCTGTTGCTTTTTTACTATGGACAAGTCATTAGGATACAAATATAAAATTGAACAAAAGGTAAGGTAAGAATATGCAGATGATAAATGTTTTTCAAAATGTCAGTCCATTCTGCAGAGGTAGTATAAATGAGTATAAATGAGATCTTGAAATCTTTTCAGAAGTATTAAAAGTAAAACTTCAGTTCCATCCTGAAGAGGAGCACAGTGGCATGGCAGGTAGCTCTTTTGTGTCTATGAAGACTGTAAAATGTAGTCAAGAAGAACATCATACTTTTTAGATTTGGTCCCCTATCTTAGAGAAAAAACACTAAGCATGAGCTTTATTTAGGCTTTCTTGATGACAAGAAAAAGAAAAATGAAATTCTTTCATACTTTTTTCCAGATTTTAACAGACAACTCTCCCAACGAACACAGCTTAAATAAAGTGTTTGATCTGTGTGTTGTATGTGGAGATAAGGCATCAGGTATTTACTTTTTCTTTCTTTTTTTTTCCTAAAGTGGTGCAATATTATAAAAGCTGTATAAAATTCTTCTGAAGCTATATAACAGTTTGTATGCATATACATCTGTATCTATATCTATATATATATATACACACACGTGCACAAACACAAAGGTTACATTACTCTTTCAATGGAGAATTACACTAAATGATACTCTAGCATCCATGAGTGGGACTTAATTATTGTTGGTTTGCATCATAAATAGAATAGAATATTTCAGTGTTTTCTACCAGATAATTTTTGCCTTTTTTTTTTAGGCTGATACATTTTATTGTCTATTATAAAAAAAATTGCCTGATAAGATTACTGAAGCAACATTGTTAAGAGTTTTTCTTCCTTAAAATAATGTTATGCAATGAACTTTGTTATTGACAGATTCTACTAAAATATATGAGAAACCTATTCATTATTTTAAATCTGAAACCAGTAGGTAAGGAAGACTTTGCAATTATGTGAAAATAGTGCTAACATGAGATTTATGCGGGACAGTTACTTATTTGAAGAACCATTACTAAAATTCTAAAAATGCATTATAATTCCAATAAAAAATAAACTTAAGAATGATATATTCATGTATTGCCACCAAAGTAGAGTGCTAAGGTAAGAAAAATGTTTCATGTACTAAATTTTGTCTGATGATCTTAAGAGACTGGAAAGAATTATAGTGGGAGCAATGTGCTGGAGAACTGTCTCCCACATTCCCTTTGCACGTGCGCCTGCCATCAGGTGTTCCAGATCTGTCAGGGTTGGAATTACTGAGAGACTGTCTTTGTGTTTTTATTTTAGAGAGAGAGAGAGAGAAAATTATAAGGCCTGTTCCTCAACATGGTTTAGCTGAAAACTCCTTTTTCTTTGCACTTTCTTTGTTACAGAATATAATGGGGTGTAAGAGAGATGAGATCTTTAACTTTGCTCTTTACTTGGCTAAAATTAGACTTTTTTTTTGAAATGGTTGTTCAATCATAAAGTTCTTATGGTTTGTCAGTGAAGTCTCTGTGATGGACCTCCAGTAATAAGAAAATGTGACAGCTGCAGTTAAATGCTCCTTTTGGGATGCAATAGAAATGAAGTGTATAAAAATGAGGGGCCAAGGGGAAGAAGTAGTTAATCTTAGGATATCACCATGAGAAGTAGTAGGATGTAGAGCAAACTGCCTAGAAAATAAAACCAATTAAAAATTTTCTACTGCAGCAAAGTTTAGCATAAAAATTATATTTCCTAGGGCTTTAGATACATGTCAGATTTTGCCCATCTCAAAGGAAATTTCTGGAAAAGATCAGGTTAGTCTGTTCCAGTTGGCAAGACTCTTGTGGCTCCCTGGTGGAGGGCTGGAGATGCCAGGAGCTATTCCTCCTGTCCTGGCCCAGGGTTCAGAATTATTAAAAGTTCAGAAGTATTAGCACTACCAGGGTTCAGAAGTATTAGCGCTACCAGTGCTTGACAGGCCCCTCCTGTCAAGCACTGGTAGTGAATTTGGGGAGAGTGCCATGTGTTGCTGAGCAGCTGCAGGTTCTGGGGAGCCTCCCATGTGACAAGCAGTGTCATGCAAACTGCTTTGCAGTCACCTCCAAGCTGAAGTCCAAGAGGCTACATGAAAGAGCAGGTGAAGAAGCAGCCCAGACACTTTGCATACCTTAATGAAAATCAATACTTTTTAGTAATATTGGTATTTTGTGCTATAGCAGAATCAAAACAACTTACTCCTGAAAAATAATTTTTAAACTTGACTTTTTTCTGTAGTGTATCCTAGAAATTCTTATGTTAGTACTACCACAGAACCACAGAACCACAGAGTGTTAGGGATTGATTGGAAGGGACCTCAAAAGATCATCTAGTCCAATCCGCCTGCCAAAGCAGGAACTATATATTAGAAAATTCACAGAAGAACTGATTGAAAAAAAATAGCTATTTTAGATTATTCTCTCATTGAAGTTTTACTGAAAGAACTTAGGATCTACTGTTACTCTGTTAGGAAAATGAAAGGTAAAAGTAAAGCTTTGAAGTGATTACCTACTGCTGTCAAATGCCATATTTGCACTTTTCATGGTTCCATTAGATTAAATGGAACCAAGGAAAACGAATGGTTTCAGTTTGACAGCTGAATTTGTAATGAGCAATAACAGGGCTTGACTGTAGGGACACTGGGGGAAAAAAATTGCTAAAGAATATATAAATTAAGAGTTTCTTCTGTGTTTGTTCTTGCTAACCTGTTTTTTTAGCTTTTTTTAACACTGCTGTCAACAGATGCAGCAAGAATTTAATAAGCAACTTGCCTATTTGTAAAATTTGTCCCATTTAAGTGCTTTGAACTAGAAAAATGTTTCACTTGCTTTTTTATGTTATTTTCTAGCTGAAATATATTTTAAGATCTGTAACCAATGGGAAAAAATATATTTCTGGGTAAGATAGCAAATACTTTGCTTTTAATAAATATAAACTCTTAAAAAAAAAATTACAGTGTAAAATTAATGTTGTGGTTTATGTTGTTCTCTAACAAGGGCGTCACTATGGAGCAGTAACTTGTGAGGGATGCAAAGGATTCTTTAAAAGGAGTATACGGAAGAATTTAGTTTATTCATGCAGAGGAACAAAAGACTGTGTCATTAACAAACACCACCGGAATCGATGTCAGTACTGTAGGCTGCAGAGATGCATTGCATTTGGGATGAAACAAGATTGTAAGTTTCAACAAGTGTAAATTATTTTAGCTGGCAGCTGTGTTAAAGTTTGTGCTACAAAACACATGCTTTGTATTAATACAAATTGTTAACTTTTTCTGTGTGTTAAACTTTTGGTTTTATGATACTTATCAATGTAAAAATTTGGATAGCATCACAGTCTGCTACTAACTTGAAAGTTTTAGAATTTTTTTCTTTAGTTACACGTTTTGCAAAACTGCATAATTGGGGAAAAAAAAAAACAAAAAAACAAGCTTTTTTCCTTTTTGCCATTGTGTTTTAAAATAATGAGGATTCTCTTTATAAGCTTAAACAGTTTCCATGTGCAGTACAATAATTAAAGAGAGTGTGCTAGCCAATAGCCAGTGCTTTTTGGGCTGGTAAATTGATGAGTATCTTAAATTACATATAGGCCTAGTTTGGGACTCCTTTTCAGGATTTTATTCCAATCTATAAAATTACTTGCACAACACTGAAATTGTGGAAGAACAACTTACTGCATATTTTTAAAAGATATGTACTTTGTAAATACCTTTTATTAATTAAGTTTTACAGTAACAGTGTTGAGTTGGTGTTATGTTATTTTCCCAGAAATTAAATTTTCCTTTTAAACTTAAAATTTAACTGTAAACTGGTTTATTTTAGCTTTATTCTGTAGATCCTAGAGAATTCCCCATAGGGTATAATACTCGTAAGTTTCATTTTAATGGTCTCTAATACATCCAAAGCAAGGTGATGTATCTGTAGGTTAAAGCCCAGATTTGTTCCACCTGGTTTCACTGAGCTGTTCAAATTGAAAAAATCTGCTTCTTTGAAGTCAGTGATTGTGGGTCAGGATGTCACCCAGATCTTAAG